ACCATGTAGCGAACATAAGCCAAATGCTTGCCCTACAATGCCTCACTCAGTGTTGAAAATCCTATGAAGCCGTCCTGCTGTTATCTCCATTTACAGATGAGAAAACTGAGTCTGTCAGAAATTGAGGAATGTGATCAAGGCACAAGAGTGGATGATGAAGGCCAGGCCACCCGGCTCCAGGACTCGGGCTCTTGGTCTCCGCTGTGCAGCCTCTCCCTGCTGCCTGGCTCTACAGCCACCTTCCCACCCCAGTCTCTTCCTTCCTACCCCTCTCCCCATCAAAATGCCTTTCCCTCAACCCTCTCCTGCTCCCAGTGGCTGGTTAGGCGGAGGAGCCCATATGCCTGTGAAAGGGGCTCTCTTTCTGTATCGAGCTTGCAGTACCCAGCTCTCCAAAGGCAGTTTCAAGGAGTCTTGAGATCCGTGGGATAGCAAAGGGCAGCAGGATGTGTATGCAGGTGCAGATCTGCCTCCCCGATACCTGCCCCAGCTTGGGTTGCCGTAACAAAATACCACAGGCCGGATATCTTACACACACAAGTTTATTTTCTCACAGTTCTGGAAGCTAGAAGACCATGATCAGAATTCTGGCTGATTGGGTTTCTGGTGAGGCCCCTCATAATGGTTTGTAGATGACCACCTTCTCACCATGTCCTCACATGGTATTTTCCAAGGGCATGTACATGGAGAGCAAGAGAGAGAAAACGGGTGTGCAAGCTCTCCGGGGTCTCATAAAAACACTAATCTTGCTGATTACTTTCTTACCCCCAGAGAGGGCCATTCTGGGGTTAGGGCTTCAACATGGGAATTTTAGGAGGATACATGCATTCATTCTCTAACACCATCTAAATGTGCAGGTGCCACATGGAAGGGCACTTGCTTTGCACATCAGTAGAGGACAGACATGACCTTGGCCCTGCTGCCCAGGGGAGAGTCTGGGGCTGGGTCCCACATGAGAAAGAACCGTTAGTACCATGCTGTCCTAGGAAGGGAACAAAGGTACTCAAGTTGGCATTGATGGCAAATAGTGCTCTTGCTGACCTGACCTTTCTAGGTTTCGGCTTTGTGCCGGCACGCTTACCCTGGAGTTTATTTCAGAAGTATCTTACTCATTTGAAGTGGCCAAACCTTTGGTGGAGGTGGCTGAGGCCACTGCAGCCCTGTAGAGACATCAGAGAGATGCTCTCCAAGTTATGTCCCTCTTTGCACATTTTTTGGCGTTAACCAACCTTGATGTCCTGTGCAAATATTTTACTAAGGTATCCCCAGAGCCTCCCAGATCATCCTGGCCAAGAACTACAGGTGACTTCTAAGCCAGTCATCCACTCATGTTCTTCCCTGAAGGGACCAGCCCTTGCATTCGTTTGTGGTCACAGAAGACAGCAGGCCCTAGTTGTGGGTCACATCCTGTGTGTGGGTCACCTCTTCTGTCAGCAGGTTGCCTCAAGCTCAGTTACAGTCACCACAGACTTTTCTATCTCATTGTGCAAGCCTTGTGCTCGCATGTTTCATTGGTTATACTATTTAGTGTCCAATCATCCTGTAGGCCCCGGTGATAAAATGCCCATTTCACAGGTGAGGAAACAGGCCCAGATAGGTTAAGGAATTTGCATAAAATCACACAGCTAGTGAAGGGTGGAGTTAGGATGTAAAGTCAGGTGATTGGACTCCAGAGCATGTACTCTGACCACTCTGCAAATTATCTTCAGATCTGGCACTGGGATGTGTGGTGGAATATGCTGCTTCTCCCATAGTCTCCTGTCCCTCAGCCTGGGCCAGGGCTACAGGGGGCCCCTCATGAGCAGTATGTGCTTTCAGCATGCTGGCCTGGAGCTTTCATGTGTGTCCCTTTGTTCCCTTCTAGTTCTCTCTGCACTAAGGTTTATGCAGAGTCGCTGGGTTACCCTTACTATAAACTGGGGAGGTTGGCTTTGGCTACATTTCCAAAGACAAGGCTAAAATGCTCTGCAAGGTGATCGTAGAACTGGCACCTTTAGGGTCTGACTGGTGTTAGTTCTGGAAGGCATGGCTAATTCAACCCAGGGGGGGTTTTTTTTTTTTTTTTTTTTTTTTTTTTTTTTTTTTTTTTTTCTTTCTCATCTCCACTGCTTCCTCTGACAGGAGCTAAGAGGGAATCTGAGCAGAGAAATGGTGGGGAGCCCTGAGCAGCCTTTCTCCCGGCCACAGCTTGGCCTCAGAAACCGGTCTCTTGTCCCTTCCTTACAGATGCTGCAGAATTGAATGCATTTGTTTAGGGGCAAGAGTCCTTCACTGTCTTCAGAGCCTAAAAACTGGAGTGACACCCCCCCCACACACCACCTGATACAGAATGATTTGATTAGACAATCTGTAGAGTTCTTACTTAGTCACCTGCTATGAACGCTAGTGCCCTATTGAGCCAGGTGACTCCAGAAACTATTTTAAACCTCCATAAAAAAAAGATTTCCTGTAATTAGGTTAACTTTGAAAATGGTCAAGGTTATCATGAACCTTTCTATTCCCTTTTATGTTCTTTGACATCATTTTTCTGGCTGGGCTTATTTATCCGTTTCTTCCCTGAAGGGTTTTCCAGGGATAGCCCCTGTCTACATTGGCATGGGCGGAGCAGCCGCCCCCACCGCTCACCTTCAGGCTTTTCCTTGACCAGGTAGTTTTAGTCTCGGGTTGACTCCCAGAGCAAAAGGGAGGCCAGGTGGAAGGAACTGCCCTGCAGAGGGTCCCGGTGGAGTCTAAGGGAATTTATTCAGCAAGTCGGGGCACAATTTTCACTGGAGGCTTCCCTGAAAAAACTAACAGAGCAAGTAACTGACCCTGGGAAAAACGGGAGAGGAGGAAGTGTCATCAAACTGACCCGGGCCTGGCGTGTGGGAGGCAGTCCGCGCGTGGCTCTCATCCTGCCCTGGATCCACTTGCCCTTACCCCTTTTCCAGAGCGGCGCAACCAATGACCAGAGCGTTCTCGGCGCTGGATCTCATTCGGTGAGATTTTATTGTAGAAACGCGGCCTCTGGAGATGCGAGACTCCGATGCCCTACGGCAAGGTGCAGGTGGAACCCTGCTCTTCTCCACCCGCACCCCCGCCCATGCCTGCAGAGGGAACAGGGTCCTTGCACCCAGGCGGTACTCCTGGAAACCTCAAACCCCATTATTTCCTCAGGGAGATGCGGACCCCGAAGGACACCATTCCAAAGTCCTGAGTTCACGCTCAGATGTTAGGGAGTCCTCGGTGGCAAGAAACAAGAGGGTCGTCGGTAGCAGCTGCGGGGGAGACGGAGTTAGGGAGTCCAGACAGGCAGCTCCCTGCTAGCTCTCGCGGTGTCTTCCCCTCCCGCGTACAAAGTAGGAAGTCACAGACGGCCAGGAAGGAAGGATCTTGCGCCCAGCGCTGTCTTCTGGCAAGGTGCGGGACTGGCCACCGACCAGCGCCAGACAGACTCGGTCAGATTAGAGCCTTGGTCTTGGCAGGTACTGGGATCGGGACCCTGCAGCCTTCTAATGCCTTGGCGCCCTGGTATACCGCGTTGCCGCTCTAGGTTGGGAAAGAGCTTGGCGTCAGGGCTCTGTGTACCCAGGGGCCCCTGCCCTGCCTGGCTCGGACCGGATACTCTTGGCGAGGCCAGGCCAAGGCTCCCAGCAGCTGGGCTCACTCGATCCGCCGCTACACGGGCCGCGTCTTCCAGGGCGCACGGGCGTCGCGCAGCGAGCGGTCGTGGGGCAGCGCGGCGAAGGCCGAGTGGCGCAGCTGGCATCCGATGAAGAGCACAACGAGCGCCACGGAGAGCAGCAGCAGGAAGAACAGCAGCAAGTAGGTGGGCAGGTCAGGCTTTGTGGCCGCGCCGTCCCGCATTCCGCGCGCCGTGGCCAGCTCCAGGGGCAAAGCGCCCTCTGCCTTGACTGTGGCTCCCGGGGCCAGCGCGCCGCCTACCGCCGCCTCGGGGCCGCCCGTGGCGTTGAACACGTCGCCGTACATGGCCCGCGGGTCCCGCCGACCCCGGCCGGACCTCACTTCGCCTCGCGAAGACCCGCGCCACACCGCGCCTCCATTGGCGCGCCCCTCCGGTCCTGCTGCGCGCAACTGACCAAGAGCCGGTGTCTTCGGGTCAACCCGGGCCGCAGAGACTCCGGACGAGGCCGCTCACTCGCCTCCGCGCTCAGCTGCCTTCCCAGCCGCGCGGCCGGCCCCAGCGCTCCGAGCTGGACAGCTCCGTGGCCGCGCCCCTAGGGCTTTCTCTGATTTTGGCGGTCGCCACCAGGACAGAGGGCCCAAGTCAATGACTGGTTTCGCGGTTTTACCGCCGCCCTCTCAGCTCGGACCCCCCAGCTCCGGTGGGCTCCGGGGGGCTCCGGGGTGCTCCGGGATGCACAGCGGCAGGAGGTGTCCGGGGCGGCTGGAGCTTTCGAAGGCCCTGCTCCGCGTCCGGACGCAGAGTGCACGGAAGGCGGGTGGCCGGGGAGTCCTCCACGTTCTCCCGCGCTGCCGCCGCCGCGTCTCGGAACAGCCTTGCAGCCCTGGGGTCCTGTCGAGTCGCCGGTGAGC